AAGTATAGCACCAACCTCAGATGTGAGTTGTTATTGGCAAAATTCATAATGAGAATAAAGATAAAGAATTTGGAAAGCGCTTGACTTTCTCAACAGACCTTCATTATTTGGATTTCTTAAAGTTAAACATAGAACACAAATGAAACTGAGAAATAGTTGAAAAGAAAAGTTACTTTTATTTATTTATTTTTTGCTGTTATTCTAAATACATTAGAGTATGTTTTGTTTCAACCTATTGTCACTGTTGTTTCTCTAGAACCTTCCATAATGTTACATCCATTGTGCCACCTTCTCCACTACTTATCTCTAGAACACTATTTCTCAATTACACAAAGGAACCAAATTACTTTTTTAAAAGAGATTGATCTGGCAGTGAAAATCACCTTCCCTGTCTTTACTAAATGGCCTAGGCTATTTAATGAGCAACCCCAGGCGAAATGGAAAAAAAATCAGATTGTGGACAAGGAGACACACTGGGTCAATCCTTAAGTGTCAGTAGAGTCAGGAGAGACAGAGCTCTCCATACGTATTCCATAGTGGCATCTAGGGTCAACCTGATATGGAGATTGACTGGGGAGATGCCTCTTGATATAGTGTGACAGGCACCAGGCAGGTCACCATGCCCCAAAATCTCTCCCTTTTGATCTCTACTAGGGCCCAAAATGTTAGCATTAGAGCACTGGGCCTTTGTAACAGGGATACGCATTTATTTGATAAACATTTACTAAATAATGAATATGTGTCAGACACCACTAAGTGCTCGATGGGTAAGGATACTCACTAGAACAAACAAACAAGGACTAAAGAATGAGAGAAGGAGGAAAAGCCTCCATCTGGGATGCTATGGGAAGATTACCCAGTAGTTGAATAGGAATTTACAGTTGGATAAGGCAGAGGAAATTCTAAGAGAAGAGACGTGCAGAAGTGCAGAGGAGGAAGGAATCCATGCTTGAGGCCAGGTCAAGAAAAGCCTTGATAATCAGACCGATTAAGTAGGTGCTGAATATTCTTGAGCAAGTGGAGATCAGGGCTGTGCTTAAGGAAGACAGACATGGAAAGATGCAGAGAGGAATGAATGGCGAGGGGTCAGAGGTAGAAAGATCAGTTAAGAGGACGGAAGAAGGGAGATGGGACCCCACACTCGGTGGTGACTGTAGTCATGGAAGGGAAGACTGTGATGATGTGGGATAAGGGCATAAACAGAGATGGTTAGTTCAGCTGTACACGTGCCAGGTCGGAGGTGCAGGCAGGATGCCCCAGACAAATGGACTGTCTGACTAGCAGAGCCCAGGAGAACTGAAGTTAGGAGGAGCCAAAAGGAGCTGGTGGGTGGCAGCAAATTAGATGGGTTCAGGAAGAGAGTGCTTCATCCCAAAGTCTCCTATGTCTCCCATGTATGGAGTAGATAACCCTGGAAGGAACACATTAACCTAGTCCTAACCATTAGCATGGAGTCCCTGGGTGGTGCAAACAGTTAACATGCTCAGCTGCTAACCAAAAGGTTGGAGGTTCAAATCTACCCAGAGGCTCCTCAGAAGAAAGGCTTGGCAATCTAATTCCAAAAAAATAAGCCATTGAAAACCCTATGGAGCACAGTTCTATTCTGACACACATGGGGTTGCCATGAGTCAGAGTCTAATGAAGGCAACGTGTGTGGTTTAACTATTAGCATACACTCTCTTCCAGCTCAGTAGAGGGTCCTGTCAGTAAATAAATGAGCAACAACATGTGTAGCCTTAAGGAAAGCTAAGTCCAGAGTCCAGATTCCTGCTAAGAGAGAACAGACCTGGATGGCCTCAATTTGAGGCCATGGAGAGTAGGAGATGGTGGAGATCCCCCTGCAGAGATGGGAAGGGTTGCTTCACAGTTTTGTCCTCAGGAGCCAGGTGTAGGGGGTATAAAAGAAAAGTATGGTGGGTACCTACCCATCCTTCATCTCCCCAGCATTTCCACCCTTCTAACCTTCAGGGGTTTCTGTTTCTGTAGAAGGAACAGGCGTAGGCCTCTTTTACTTATTCATGTAGAATAGTGAGGTCTCAGAAACTCTTAAGATACAGAGGAGTAAAATACTTTGATAACTGTGTCCCCCCAGGTACACTCATTTCCACATCAGAAGACCTAACCCATGGTCAGGTCATGTGAGTGTCCTGAGAAGAGGAATCGTGTCTTACTCTCCTGGGGTATATTTGTTCTTATAACCTTGGACAAATAGCCTGGTTCTCCGGCCAAAAGTGTCCTCATCTGTGCTGTGGGAATGATACGGTATAGTCAAGTGTCAAATGAGATAATTATGTGAAAGTACTTTGAGAACTGTCATCCACTGTACAACTTCTGGTTGTGTTACATATATTTGAAGTTCCCTATCACCCCCTGAGAAATTAAAGAAAACAAAATAATCCCATATTAAGTAAGCAGCTTTATGGGGTGAGCAGGTATTTACCTTCCTCCCCCCACTCCCCACCCAGCCTCCTTTTTTTTTTTTTTTTAAAAGAGAACTGCTTTTTCCTCTGTAAAATGGGAGTAGTAGCATCAGAACTTGTCTAGGTTCCTTAGGAATAAAAGCCAGGATGAGCCCAAAACTGATTCCTATGCGGTAGAGGTCAGGCATACCTCCACTCTCCAAACTTTTTACTGATTCTGACACCAGCCGTCCCTTTCACGGCACTCTCTACTTCTCTGCTGGGTTTTATAATTCCTTGCAATGGCCACACAGAGCTCACAGATCATACTCACCATTAAGTGGTTTATTAAGGAAGTAACAGGATCGGGAAGCATGCATACAGTCTGCAAGGCTCCCCCAAGTGGAGAGCACATCCCTCCCTACTTCAGTGCAGGACAGCTCTCTGAGCTCCTCTTGGTGATGCAAGTAAGCAGGCCCTTCTCTCTGCCATGCATGCCCCCCTCAGCAGTGCAGGCCCTCTCCCAGGCGCCCTCAGGACCGGCTCCTCTCGGCCACGCGCGCCCCCTCTCAGCCGTGCAGGCCTCTGCACTGATAACTGACCCAGCTCAGAGCCAGTGGAGCAGTTGTGTTGAGCTGTCTTAGCTGCATTCCTAGCAGCAGGCTTCTGCTGTCACCACCGACTCTGCTGCAGGGCCCCTTCCGGGCCTCTCATTGTCTTCAGTATTAAAGCCCTTGACCCGTGTTACAACTCTGTTAGGAAATTCCTCACCTCTCTCTCTGCTTCTCTCTTCTTGCCTCTTTTGCCTTTTCTCCGTTCTGCTTCCTTCCTCCTTCTCTTTCTGTCGTCAAACCTCTGTGGGGTTGGCTGCATATATAAGCAAACTCTCGGTCAATTTCAAGGCATGACCCTCCCACCAAGGCCACTAACTGACTAATCCCCTCTCCGTAGGCCACAGTCACTTCATTTGTGTAGGAGGTTATACATACTTACCTGTTGCTGTCAAGTCGATTCTGACTCATAGCTACCCTGTAGGACAGAGTAGAACTGCCCCACAGGGTTTCCAAGGCTGTAAATCTCCACAGAAGCAGACTGCCACATCTTTCTCCCTCGGTGGCTGGTAAGTTCAAACGGCCAACCTTTCAGTTAGCAGCGTTTAACCACTGCGCCACAAGCACCCCTAGTAGGCTATAGTCACTACATTTGCATAGGTATGTTGATCAATCCCTGCAAGGTGAGTAACACAGACCAACCACAGGGCAGGCTGCAGCCCAGGGCCAGACGAAAAGTATCAAACCAGCTGTTTACAGCTTACCCAGGAAGTGTCAATCAACCTGGACAAAAGTAACAAACCCTTCCTCCCCACCCCAGTAGAAAACTAAGGCAAAGGTAACTCCTCAAGGACTAGGGGAAAAAAATCTCTCAAGCTGTTTTTCCAAAGAACCAAGGCAAAAGGCCACAAAAAGGAACTCATTTCACCACACCCTCAAGGCTTTGGCCGAAAAATGGAGTAGAGTTGAGTTTTTTTTTTTTTTTTCCTTCCCTGTCAATAAGTTAGATAGTCCACCTAATTTTTTACTCTAGCCCACCTTCCCTATTTTTATTACTAGACTAACAAATCAGTAAGTTTGGGTACCTGTCTACTATGGGCGCTAAGCCCCACCTAGCTTTCTCCACGACGACCTCCAGTCCCTCTGAGCTGATCCCTGGAGATGGATGCTTGGCCAACAGTGTCCCTGCTGCAGTGGTGGGGGACAGGAATGGAAGGTGTCATGCAACAAAGTGGGAGGAGTTAACAGACCAGTGCCCGTCAACACTTAATTGCATTTTTTATCCTAGTTCAACTCTGTACCCCACAACCCTTTACGTGGTGTTGTCATATAAGAGTTCGTTGATAACATTTGTAGTAACTGTTAAATGAGAAACCATTTTGTTCTGTAAGCCTTCATCTTAAGTGAGAATAACAGCACAATTGGAAGAGTGTAGTCATTGTCACTGAACTGTATATGTAGAAATTTTTGAAA